TTCTTTTCAAACATAAAATACAAAAAACCCCCCGGGTTTACAACAATTACCATCATCATCAACATGCAAGAGTGAGTATTCCAACAGAAAAAGCACTAGATCTGCCTTTTAAAATATTATAAAAGCTATATAACTGTAAGTATGCATTGAGGCTTTTTGGCTAACAGAAAGAAAAATCATAATGTGCTTTTGAGATAGTCAGGTGTCCCACTGATAAAATAAGTCTGATGAAAGAGAAAGGCACTTCAGCAGGCTAATTTACCTTCAGGTTTTCCTAATATCCAGTACTAAACAATGGATGCAGTGTACTACCTTCTAATTTGTAGAGTGCTATGTCAGTAGTACTCCACTTTTTAACTAATGAGAATAGTTTAGACTGATGCCCATTCATTTAATCCTCTTTGGTACAAGTTACTGCATAAAAATAAAGCAGACAACTAAACATTTTGATTCCTACATCCTGGAGTATTTTTTGCGCATCATCTCTAGCTCTACATTGGTAAATAATGTACCTAATCATCTAATCAGTTGTGCTTTCAGGTTTGTTACATACCAGAGTTCTTTTATTTTCTGACAGTACTATAAAGATTTTTCCTGTTAACCAAATGGAATTTTTAAGTTATTTCCCTTAAAAAAACAAACAATAATTCTGTATTTGGCATTTGATAATCTGAAAATTACTGTCAATTATCTTATTCTGGGTAACATATCCAGATTAATGTGCATACACATGCTGCATACTAGTTAGCCCGATCACTTCCCTTAATTTATGACACATCAATGTACTGATCTAAGCCACATTAATTAATCTGCAGAAACAAGCCTTGGCTAACTCCAGTAACTACATTACCAAAACCAGGTAAGACCTGGAACTGGTATACCCTTCTGCAAGAGGAATCTCAACAACATCTATTGCAACCATGGTAGGGAAACTGTCCTGAAGTTTATAAATCGCCTTTTACCTTAAATATATGACAAAATTGGGTCTTGCGTGTTCTCTATCTACCTAACAACTTTCACTTCAAAGTGTATGTACAGGTATGTGGGTTTTTTTGCAAAAGCCGACAGCTCAAGAAGCATGTTGTGAAGAACTGAGACCTAAGTCTTGCAAACATTTTTCTTCAGAAAGAATAAATTCCAAAGCACAAATACATATTAGTTTGGAAACAAGCATCAGAAAAGAAGCTATCTCCATTGTTTTTTTACCACTCATTCCCCTTCTCCTTAGAGGGGGATTACTTCAAAGGTGCTTGAGGCATGGCCCTTTTCATCTCAAGGTAATCAACCTCCAGATTCAAAGGAGTCAAAACTACTGAATGTTTCCTGGGCCTTTCCAAGAACAGTGTGCCATGAATCCATGCTATTTTTTTGTACAAGGTTAATTTTTGCACTAGCATTTTAGCACTCTGATAGGGCTGCAATACTGAGCCAACAGAAAAAAAAAATCTTAAGTAAATTTAGTGATTCCTATTAATTAATCCATAGAAACAATATATATTCTTATCTAGAAAAGCATTAGTTTGACCACAAAGACAAATTTCAGGATAATTTTGACTTTTTCACCTGTGTTACACATCCTGTATGGTATCTCTGGAATTAGAAACGGTAGTCAAACTCCTTTTTAAAAACCTGAAAGACTTACAGTCACTAAGAGGTAATGCAGGCTTCCAGTACATAAATTTTAACCTACAGGCAGAACATAAAGACGCAGAAAACATAAATATGAAGTACAATTCTAATTATTTTAGAGTAACTTAGAGCTTTTTAAAAAAAAGCTTTTAAACATTTAAAAAACATTTAAACATTTAAAAAAAAAAATCAAAGACTTAATGCTCATGATAGGGCCAAGGAAGAATTCTCTATCATTGAGTGCTTAGGAGCATCAGCTGTTCTCATGACACATGTATCTTTGCAGATACAACTGCAGTAACAATTCCTCTCTACAGAATAGTTATTCCATATTCTGACACAGAAAACAAGTTACATATTTCATTTTAATATAAAACTAGACTTTAGAAAATCCTTTTCAAGTGATACCAGCAGCACAAGACATCACGTGTTAAATGGTAGCAAGTTACACACACAAAAGTTGGCGTACGGGATCTACAAACCAAGCAGAGATAGTTGTTGCTTGACTGGCATGGATAGAAGGAATAGCCTAAGACAGCCTTGGAAATGGTATTACCAAAACTCTCACTCCAGAAAAGAATTTAAATACTCCACTAGAAGAAATGCCCACACACTCATTTGGCAAGGGAGAAACAACTGGCTAGAAGAGACACCAATCTTATATACGATAAGATGCCTATTTTCCAAAAACCTTTATCTTTCTTCCTACTACTAAGAAGCCTAGTAGCAAGAAACTCTTGCAAAATCTGTTCTACTCTGACTTGCTTTGTTGGCTAAAAGCTGAAATGCATTGCTGATGCACAGCCTCTGAAGTGGCTATTTTGCACTACAACACGTGCAAGGTAAAATTGTCACTAAATCCAGAGAGCTAAAAGCTCCTCTAGAACGGTAGTACAGAACCAAACTCTGCTCTTAGCTCCTGGTCAGCTAGCAGAGCAGATGAGAATCTGCATTACACCAGTGCATCTTTTGACACCATTACTTCAAAGTCCCAGAGTTATAACTGATCTTTTCAACATTTCTAATCTTTTTCTTTGGCGACCAGATACAGACTCTGACGCAGAACAAGAGCACTGGAGTGCAAAACTTCGTTCCTTTGAATTTACATGAATTTGTACTAGTCATTTACAGTAGTCTGTATTTTTAATGATACAATTAAGTTTGAGGAATTAAGTCTTTTTGGTATATAGAATGATACATTGAAAAATCTGCAATATATTTACATTACTGCAGGTGAACAAAATTTCAAGTAGAGACATAACAATTTAATATTAACATCTCAAAACCATTAGCTTGTCAAGGATTTTCTGTTATGTTCAACAGAATGTATAATATTTCCTATTTGAAAAAAGCCACCAGAACTGATGCAACTCAGAGTAGGGCAATATTAAACCTCAAAAGTCAAAGCAGCTTTCAGAAGAAATGTATATTTACACTCAAAATATATAAACTGATTCCTACTAATGTATGTAACAAAGCAAAGGTTGAAAATATCAGCATTCGAGGTTAGAGAGTTAGTCATGCATGAAATTCAGTGGAACTGCATATAGGAAAAAAAAAAGTATTGTCAAAATATATTCAGTAGAGGAAAACTGAATTAGTTACCTAAAAAGAGTACCAAAGGTATGCTAACATGACAAGCCATCTTCACCTCTGAAGTAGATAAATCCTATAACTAAACCAGATAATTCTGGCCAATTATAATTATAGACCTATTCACATACCCATCTCAAACTTATTTTGCACTTTCATACTTAGGAGCTCAACAGGAACACCGTATTTTGTTCATGAAAAAACTGCACACCAGAAGTTGGACTGGTGTATTGCCAGTACCATTCTGGTTTCCTTGCATATTCTTCTAGAAACGGGACCAGGCAACTGACAACCCCCAACGTAACAGACGTATTTCACAGTAAAGTTTCCTGAGCGAATACTCCCAGAAGCTCAGCTGCACAGGGTATTTGCCAACTCTCGAGTGGACTACAGAGGAGACAACTGACTGCACCTCCCCCCAAATCAGAAACAGGTATCTAATGGAAATATTTATAAAGCTTTTTTTAGGATGATTTATGATCAACCTGCCAAAGCCAAAATGCTGGAACTTATTTCATCAGGGAACAGCTTAAAAAACACAAAAGGACATTTAATATACTATATGAAGCACATTAAGGGATGTATCTACTTTTCTGTTAGCCAAAGTTGAAAGAATCACTTTGACAAGATGAACATTAAAAATAAAGATTCTGATGGCCTTTTCCTTCCTCTATATGTATCTTAGTTACATTTCATGCATTTATAACTTTTGGTAAATTGAACTCCAAGATGAGTCATAAGTAGTATTTATATTGCATTATAGACCAAATTTTCCTATCTGCTCTCTCATGCTCATAAAATTCCCCAACTTTTAAAGCCTGTTTAACCCCTCTAGAAAACAGCAGCTCAGGCTGGCAAAATATAGGCACAAAACCTCCAATGATCTTCTTTTTTAAAAACAAAATAGAAAGCAACAGTGCTGAAGTTTTCCGCTTGAAGAAACTATTTCAAAAGAATAATTTATTAAAACTTGTATACTTTTTCATTATGGGCCAGACTCTAACTTACAAATCTGCAGAGATTCAAGACTACGTTGTGCACCACAACTGGCCCAACAGCATGCAGAAGAGAAGATTTTAACTGACAGCGAAGTCAAACCAAAACACTGGGATCAGACGTAGCAGCAGGCTCAAATGCTACTGGAACCAGTCCTTTTCTGCTGGGTGTGGACACTTCATAGCAGATGACAATCTTCAATGTCCACAGTTCATAACAAAGCAGATTAAAACAAAGCAGACTGGCAACATCTTAAGACAGCAAGGACCACAAACTGCAGCGGTCACAGAGCTTGTACACTTCCCCGTTCTGCCACTGCTATATGGAATGGTAACCATTTGCACATGGATGGGCACACAGGAAGGGCAGTAATGCTATGCAGCTCTGCTGATAAATCCAACAGAGCTCATTTGCTGGTGTTGTAGGGCTAACTGACAAAACATTTTGCATCATACAAAGAAATAGTAACAGATCCCTAGAAAAGTTCACATGTAAAATACTGTACAGATGGTCACACTGACTAGGAACAAGGCCGAGGAATGCTTTAACCACTCCACCAATACATTAGCAACAGGTACAAGAAAATTAAAAGATGTGCCTACGTTTCTCACCATGCATTCCCAGAGGTGCGTCCAAGAATGACAAACTAAAATGTGGGCCTTCCCTATACTGCAAGCAAAATTAGGAACTGGAAAATTTTAAAAATAGCATTTCCCTGTTTTCAATTCACATTGAATATCAATTGCCCAGTTGAAGTTCAGTAACTGAATCTGTGTATTAAAAAAAAAAGTAACTCGTCTTGATACTGGAAAACAACGTTTCCCTTGTAAACCCAACACTGCAGACAAGCAGGTCAATAGCCAGCAGGGAGAGCAACAACACAGAGCACATTGTGTTTTAATTTATAGGAATAAGCGGCCTTTCCTCTCTTTTCTTCCAGATATTGGTTTTGCTATCTCTTTTTGTGATAGACGGTCGACCCCTTTTTTTAGCAGAAGGGATACCAGATTCATGACTTCCTGACACAGTTTTTCTTAGATCTTCTTCATTGTGCTGTTCTATGACTTGCCCGTTCCCTCCATCCAGAATGTGCCTCACAGCCTGGTCCTCTGGGGTGCAAACAGCGGTCCCACTTTCACTGCTACCCAGATCCAGATCTTCCAAGTAAAGGATCTTGGAATGAGGCATATTTTTTACAAAAGTTTTCTCTCTCTCCAGTTTCCTACTAGGATGATGCTCATTCATGTCCACACCAGAGTCCAGACTGGTATCATTACTCTCTGTTTTTCTGCCCTTTTTCAGATCTATGAAAGAATGCCTTACTTGAGCAATCGGCTTTCCATCCAGGGACACAAACCATGCTCGAGGGTGCGGAGATGGTTTTCCTTTAGACAGTTCCAGTAATGTTTGTTCTGAAATACCTTGAAGTTCAGATGAAAACGGAGTCATTACAACAGCTTCATTCAACGTCCCAGGAACAGAGACAGATTCCAGTAAGCTATTAGTATACCGGCCCCAGTTTGACATTTGAGAAGGTAAGCCCTCTTCACTGTCTAATGTACTGTTTTCATCTTTGCCAACAGAAGGCTGTGGATGAGAGTGCACTGGCATTTTTGGTAACGTTTGCATGTAACTGTCACGATTCATGGGTTCCATCATAGGGCTATATACTAATTGCCCTTTTCTTGGCAAAGTTGCTGATTTAGCAGGATGCAATTGTTCTGGGGAATGGAAAAGGTCAGAGGTTTGTAGAATAGTAATAGGTTGATTGTAAATATGCATTAGGTGTTCTGGGATATGGGAAAGCCCATACATCTCCTCTTTCACTGAAAGGTATCTGTTTTGGTCTTGAACGTCCCTAGGAACCTGGGAGACAGTACTGTTACTATGCTTTGGCTGCTCTAAGTGCCTAACTCCAGCATTGGGCTCCAATGAATGGACTGAATTTCTTGACTGACCAGTTTGGCAAGATGACCGATAAGAAGCATCTTCTGTGTAGATTTTAAAATTGTCTCGAGATTTTCCATCTTCCGTGTCTATGGACATCTTTCTTTGAGGGCTGTATGAAGACATCTTCGGTATATATAACTGTGACTTATCTTCCAACTTTAAAGACCCTTTGACAGCATTGATGTGATTTATGTGAGTTGTTGATGTTGTCTGGTCTTTTTTTATGACCTCCAACTTAGTTGTATTCTTTTCCTTCTTTTGTGTCCGACCACATTTATCCCTATGCAAAAGAGATGCAAGGTGACTGCAGAGCATACTAGGAAATACTAGACTGTTGACTACCAGAGCTGAACGTTAGGTTTTGGTTAAGAAGTTGTAGTGTAATGTGACATTTTAAAATGAAATTCTGTAATAACTAACTTTTAAGGAAATATTAAGCTACACATTATAATTTAGCTAAGGAAACAAGTCTCAACTTCAAAAGACTGTTTTATGAACTTTAAATTCCATTCATGCTGAGCTTATTAGAGCTATTTTTTTCCTTACCTGCAGTAACAAAGAAGAACAGCAAAAAATCCAATGATAATGACAACAGTACCTCCAAGTATGGCTGTAAGGAACACTGTGTGATAGGCTGTTATGTCCTTGGAAACCGCACTAATAATGGATTCTAGATTGTCAAACAAAACCAGGCACGAATTAGTTCTCAAAAACAAGTAATTCTGCTTGATATGCAGAGCTGTAACTAATAAATTAAACAGTACTTTTCCAGTGATTTTGTGTTCCTATGGCACTACATTCATCGTTCCCTTTTCACTTTGCTATTTCAGCAAACTACAAAATATACAAACAGTGGTTACAATATAATGGGTCTTCAAAGGTTCATCTCAGGGACTAAAGCCTTACCATGACACCTATTCAATTCCACTCAAATTACACTTGGATTAGTTATCCAGACTGACTCAGAAACATGGTCTACATTTTCCATCTAGTGCTTCTGTCAGAAAGTGCTATCTGTTCTTAAATTTTGACATCGTATTTCTCCCAAAATTCCTTCATATGAATTTGCTAAACATGCAGCAAGTCTACATAAAACAGAATCCGCTGGGACTGTTTTACCCAAGATTAATTTTCTTGTTGTATTTCCTCCTGTCGTACATGATCCTCAACAGTACGGGATACAGTCCCACTGATTTTTAGATCTCCATTGTCAACTGTTCCATTGCAAGCTTCTTTCAAAAGATGGCAATAGTATAAACATTTAAGTTCAAATACAGTCTGGACTTCTCCCTCTATAGCATTTGAGGTTTGAGGAAATTATTATATGCACAAAGGCATACTACCAGGATTCAAACAAAAGTAATCCAACTGTTGAAGCTGTATGCCATTTTTCCCTTTCTGTTGTTAAATGAAGCAATCAAACTGACAGCCTTATCACACTCTGTTACTTGGGTTATTCAGTAATTTATTTTCCAGTTGTTTGCAATACCTCTTGTTCCAGGCAGTGGAGCCGCTATCCAGTAGCCCAAGTGTTGAGCAATGTATGTCCACACTAACTGACCATCTGCTTCCTTTACCATTCCTAGCCCACGGCTTACCCAAGCACCTGGCGGGGGTGGGGAAAAAAAAAAAGGACAAAATACTGCACATGCCATGGAGCATGCTTTTATTTCTCAAACAAGAAAAGCTGAAACTTCTGATCTATAAACTATTTATTACATAGCTTTAGCTAAACATGCAAATTTTCTCTCTTGACAATTTCATTGCAAATATACTTGTCCAGACATTTACTCTGAAGCAAAGCATCATTGTTACTTATTTAATACAATTTATTTTTTATCAACAAATGTTTTTCATAGACATGCACAAAAATAATTTGAAAAATCCTATTATACGAGCTTAAGCATGTGTGACAGTCAAGACTAAGACATCAAGGAGCAAGTAATTTATGCATATGAACATAAGTTTAACATTAGCTAGCACCACTCAGTGGAAAAGCATTTTAATCTTATAAGCTACAATAGGATAAACAATGCTTGTCTTGAATGTTTCTCTCCTCCTCTCTGCTACAAAGGAGTAACAATTCAGTTAGCGCAAGGAAGGTCTATCGTTGGGACACAAATTCCACGCCATCTGTTTGACAATGCAAAGGACAGGCATTATCGTATGCTAGCTTCTACAACTAATAAAGCATGCACTTAGAAGAGACAGAATTTTACTTAATGCACTTCAAGACATCTACTGCGTGTCGTCTGTGAAATTCTAAGGACAGAAAACAACCCCATATAAGCAACCTTACAGTTTCAAACTGCAGATACTACAAAAGGAGATAGCACCATCAGCTTTTTTAAAACAACACTAACTAAAGCATGCAGAAAGTATAATTCATATAAGCCTATAATTTCAATTTTCCTTTAGGACCTTTCTTTCAGCAAAGCAAAAGGAAATATCTACCAGACAAGAGGTAGAGATGAAAAATAACACATGCCACATATGCACACATGCCTAGACACAAAAAGACATCATTCAGCAGTACAATTTGCAGCCTTCTGATACTTGTGATGTCTGGCAGAAGGGAATAGTGGTAGCAGCCATCTAGAGCCCTGAAAGAGCTGGAAAACCTCTTCTTCAGACTCAGGAGCAACACCAGCCAGAAGAGTTTTCAATCTCTAAACTCTCATATGGAAGCAACAACAGAATCTCTATTTCTCTGTCCTGTCAACACTAAGGCAAGATGTCACTATACAGCAAAACTACTGTTTTACAAGTATAAGTGAGCTACTTACAGGCAGATAAAAACCAACACTAAACACCACATATAAAAGGCAAAACAAAAAAAATAAAATTCTAGGTCTCTAGAAGTTCTATCTTGACTGAATAAATCTATAAGAAGCTGTGCAATCTTTGCTGTCCTCTTCAGTAAATTATATCCTCCCCTCAAGTACACCCCACACAACATAGCACATATTCAGAAAAATATTTAAATGTAATTTATGAGCAGACACATGCTCTCTATGATCTACTGACATTCAAATGAAACTGTCCTTAATGAAATGTTGCAACACAAGCATTCTTTTTTAAAAAAATTCTATTAAAATCCACAAAGTACTTTGGTACTAATGAGACAAAGTATTTAATAAGAAGGAAGCCACGTTCAATATACATCAACAAATTCTGTAGTTACAGCAGCTGGAATACAATTACAAAACCTTGTTTTTCAGGAACAGTCTCAGTACTACTACACTTTGAGTAACCCCCAGGGAACACTGCACAAGCAAACACGTGAAAGCAGTTTCTATCTTTTTTCAGTGGTGCACATGGATCAGCCTACACAACACTAAACGCAGACCTGTTCCCTTACTACTATCAATACCAACATGGAAGCTCTGATTACCATTATGACATATTACCCAAAGACTTCAGAGTTTAAAACTGCCAACATCTCCCTGGGGATATCCCACATGCAACATTTTGGATACCAGAGCCTCATTATTCAGCGCACTAGTAGCTCTCCATTCAGCTCAGACAGCAGCCTACTGCTACTTATGGACGCTTTAGCATATGTCAGATCAAAGGTAAAAATAAAATATAATTTAGAACAAACATCCAGAACAGTTAATACAGTTGCAAATTTTCACTATAGAGAAGAGGTGAGGAAGTGGAAGAAAAAGTAGAAGTTAGGGTTAGTGTACACCAATGTGCGCAGCATGGGGAATAAACAGGATGAGTGAGAAATCTGTGTGCAGACATAGGGTTATAATCTGGTGGCAACTGCAGAGACATGGTGGGACAGCTCACACAACTGGAATGTGGTAGTGGATGGTTATGTCCTTTTTAGCAAAGACAGGCCCACAAGGCGAGGTGGTGGAGTTGCCCTTTACATGAGAGAGCAACTGGAGTTCTGTCCAGGGGCAGATGAGGAGCAAGTTGAGAGTTTGAGAGTGAGAATGAAGGGACAGGCTGGCATGGGCAATACTGTTGCGGGTGTCTATTACAGGCCACCTGATCAGGCCACAGAAGTTGATGAGGCCTTCTACAGGCAGCTGGCAGCAGCCTCGCAAGCACAGGCCCTGGTTTTCTTGGGGGATTTTAACTACCCAGATATTTGCTGGAAGGCCTACACAGCCAGCCATTCACAGTCCAAGGGGGTCTTGAGAACTTCTTGATGCAAATGGTGAATGAACCAACCAGGAGAGGAGCAGTGCTGGATCTTATCCTCACTAACAAAGATGGTCAGGTTGAAACAGTGAAGGTTGAGGGCAGCCTTGGCTGCAGCGACCATGAGATGGTGGAGTTCAAGGTCTTGTGCGGTAGGAACAGAATACCAAGCAAGATCACAACTCTGGACTTCAGCAGGGCCAACTTTGGCCTTTTCAAGCAATTGCTAGGGGAAATTCCATGGGACAGGGTACTTGAAGGGAAAGGGGCCCAAGACAGTTGGTTTATATTCAAGGACCACTTCTTCCAAGCTCAAGATCAGAGCATCCCAAGAGGTAGGAAATCAAGAAAGACAGCCAGGAGACCTGCATGGTTAAACAGGGAATTGCTGGGCAAAATCAAGTGGAAGAAGAGAGTCTAGAGATGATGGAAGGAGGTGATAGCCACCTGGGAGGAACACAGGACTGTTGTCAGAGGATGTAGGGAAGCAACTAGGAAGGCTAAGGCCTCCTTGAATTAAACCTTGCAAGGGAGATGAAGGACAACAGAAAGAGCTTCTTCAAATACATTTCAGACAAAACTAATGCTAGAGGCCCACTGCTGAATGAGGTGAGTACCCTGGTGACAGGATACTGAGAAGGCGGAGTTACTGAATGCCTTCTTTGTCTCTGTCTACACTGCTGGAGACTGTCCTCAGGAGCCTCAGACCCCTGAGGCCGCAGAGGAAGTCTGGATAAAGGAGTTTCCCTTGGTTGATGAGGACTGGGTTAGGGAGCAATTAAGCAATCTGGACATCCATAAATCCATGGGTCCAGATGGGATGCTCCCACAGGTGCTGAGGGCGCTGGCAGAAGTCATTGCTAGGCCACTCATCATCTTTGCCAAGTCTTGGGAAACGGGAGAGGTGCCTGAGGACTGGAGGAAAGCAAATGTCACTCCAGTCTTCAAAAAGGGCAAGAAGGAGAACCCGGGTAACTACAGACCGGTCAGTCTCACCTCCATCCCTGGGAAGGTGATGGAACAGCTTATCCTCGGTGCTGTCTCCAGACATATCAAGGATAAGAGGGCCATTAGGAGCAGTCAGCATGGTTTTGCCAAGGGGAAGTCATGTTTGACCAACCTGGTAGCCTTTTATGAGGACATAACTAGGTGGCTAGATGGTAGTAGGGCAGTGGATGTGGTCTATCTTGATTTCAGTAAAGCACTTGACACCGTCTCCCACAGCTAAACTAAGGAAGTGTGGTCTAGATGATTGGATAGCGAGATGAATTGTGAACTGGTTGAAGGAAAGAAGTCAGAGAGTTGTGATCAATGGGACAGAGTCCAGTTGGAGGCCTGTATCTAGGGGGGTCCCCCAGGGGTCGGTACTTGGACCAGTACTATTCAGTAGATTCGTCAGCAACCTGGACGAGGGAACAGAGTGCTCTGTCAGGAAGTTTGCTGATGACACAAAACTGGGAGGAGTGGCTGACACTACAGAGGCTGTGCGAGACCTGGACAGGCTGGAGAATTGGATGGGGAAAAATTTAATGAGGTTCAACAAAGGCAAGTGTAGCGTCTTGCATCTGGGGAAGAACAACC